AGTGTCCTTTGGGTTTTTTCTTTCTTCATCTGGCAGTTTGAGAATACAGCCTCTTTTACCTGGTGGATGAAATACACGCATTTCATTCAGCTGCAACCCTCCTCATCACACTGTATATATTAACATATATCATATGTTCATAAATGTATTTTATAGTATGTGTTCCCATTGGGGGTTCAACTTTCAATGGTAATGTTCAGTGTGAGTAATGACAAATGAAATGTGTGTACACAGCTTTAAAAATGACTGCTGTATCATAATTAGGAACGCTGTTAGACTCTTTAACTTGCGTCTGGCTGTTTGCGTCACTACAGTCGTAGCCTTTTTTGTTGTCTAAAATGCAACGTGATGTGTGTGACAGCTGCAGAGGCTCCTACTGCACCTCGCAGCTTTAACAGTCGGTATTTTAATTGCATCCTGAATGCTTACGGTGCTTTGAAAAGGTCGCCTGTTCTCAGGAAGTGACATGATGATAAATGGCGACAGAGCCAGCACAGAACACACCTTTAAGAGGAGTTTGTTTCTTGTGGCCTTGATGGATGTAATTGAGGTGTTTTACTGGGGTGGTGTGAGGGAAGGCTGAGGAGAGACTTGGTCCCCGCAGGAGGCTGGAGCTCCCCCTCCAGGCCTAGGTGGTTAATGTTAGGAGTTGAGTCAAGTTTTTCCACACACTCACACATACAGATGCACACACAACCTCCTTCTGCCAGAAAATGATGATTTGTATATTTAAATGGATTCTCCTAGGTGCCTTCCTCATACATATGAATCTGTCTTAATCTTTTTTGAATTTAATAAGCCCGTCTGTCATGAATGTAGGTGAATAGCTTTGCCAAAGCATCTAAAAATAATAAGTACAAGCAGGTAAGCGTCAACACTTGCCTGTTCCCTCTCTCTCTTTCTCTCTTTCCTCATATAATTCAGAACTTTTCCTCCAAAGTTATACCTCCCAACCACCGCCCTCTCTTACACCAGCTCTGATTTCAGGCAATATACCTCCATCACTGCTGGTCCCTCACTAACACCATTATACCATTCAGATACCACTTGATATCATTGGGATGAGCGCTGCACCTCTTGGTATTCAGGCGCTCTTATCTGATTATAGCCAAATTGAATCAGCCTGCAAGCTCTGCTAGCACACTGCAATTCAAACTCATCCAGATGCGGGAAGCTGAAATGTGGCGTCTTTGATCAAGGCCTGTTCAGTTTGGCCCCTGTAGGGTGTGCGATGTGACGAGCAGTGAGCAAATGATAATTTTTTCCTGCAAATTATAACTACAAATCATGATTAATAATTTGGATTACGGCATTTAGCATCATTTGAATAATGACTACACAGCTGTTGCATTTTAAGCGGCAAAGGATCATGAATTACTGTATGATCCAAGATGAATGTACAGCCTGCATGACAACTACATCACAGAGCTGCTGCTTTCACTTTCTCTCTGCTAGAAATACTGTGTTTATTTGAAGTGTTGATCCATAAGAAGATATATTTGTGGTTTTAAGAACTAAAAACCATCTCATTGTAGTTTTACATCTCCTCTCTCAGGCTTCTCTCTGGAGCTTTAATAACAGGGTCGGTGAGTCTGAATGAATGGAATGGTTTCATGTGCAAAATTTATACAAAATAAGTGAATGTAAAGTTCAGGTTGAGTAAGAATAAAAATTTCTAATTCAAATCTGCATTGAAACATAATGTTGAATAGTGTCCCAATCTTTTGAAAACAAAGAAAAGTACAGAAATAAAAAAAAAAAAAAGCTAAATTTTAAAGGGGCTTCTGATTGGCTGCCTGTTTTTGAGTGATCTAATAAAAATCTATCAAATTTCTAAATACTCTAAAACTAAATAGAAACCTGCAAGGTTGGATGATGGGTCACTGCTTTGTTGTGACATCACAAAGTTCGAGAAATCCTGAGGGCCCGCTTTAAGGCTCAGTGTCTGAATACAGGCTGTGTGCATTTCTCTGTGGACTGAGCGCTTTGATACTTTCACTGTATTAATATAGAACCTAGACCTGCTTTATAATCAAACAATACGTGGACATCTACCTTTAGACTATATGGGACCTTTAAGGGAATTTTGAGTTTGTATTAGATGTGAACATCATTACCAGCAGTTTTAAATAGGGGACAATTAGAAAACAGAGAAAATTCATCCTATAACAGGATAAGATATATTTATGTTATAAGAACAGGCAATTAGAAATAAAGACCTGCCTCTAATATGAGACTGTGTCATAAAAGCTTGATTATTTGTGAATTAAAAGTAAATAAAGAGAGATGTTTCTGTTCTAAGAAGAGGTTTTAATGGTCATTTGGTTTTAATGGTGTGTATTGTTTTTAAATTTGATATAATGGGAAGGCTATTTTTCTACCTCTCACACTTTAGTTTCAGTAGCTTGAAGTTTTGGAAGAAGTTGCAGTTCAAATGTGGCTTCTCCATGTGATTCAAAGCCGTTTGACAGGAGGCAGGCTGTTTGGTAAAAGGCATGTTAGTTATGTAACAGAAGGGACTTGGTGAGTGTGATAATGATTCAGACTGGTCTAACCGGGTGCTTTTCTATTGCATAACTAGTTGACACCTCAGTGTCCCTTCCATCCATACGCACACAAACACTTTTTTTTTAATGAACTGAAGAAGCACAGACAATGCACATGTCCTCTACTTCCTACTGTTACTCCTTTAAAGTTTCTCGAGGCTTTTCCACCCTGCATACACACACGGGTACACAAGCATCACTCCTACAAAATCAGTCAGACTGGTATGATCTAATAAAGTATGATCTAAAGTGAGCAACAGGTCGCACAGGAAACAAGTTGACAGCAGTAAGGTGCACCAGCGTTCTATGTTTTTTAGTTTATGTGTAGAATATCTGCTACTAGTGTTTCACTGTGAATCTCTCTAAAATCACTCCGGTGAAGCTTGTAAAACAGCTTTATACAAGAGGTTTGCAGAACTGGCACTATATTTTCTTGTATTTTCTACCTTTCCTTCTGTCGACATCTTGTTCAAAGTTCACATTCAGAAAAGTTCCTCGTTTATGCACAAATTAAACTTTGCTTTTGTTCCAAACTAAGATCAACTCTCAGCCTCGTGGTTTGACATCCTTGAGTTTTCATTTGAAATCATTATTATTTGAAAGTGTGAAAGGTCTTTTTAAAGGTTCGACATCTTGTAAAGCAGAACGTCTTTGTCTGAGTCAATACAATATTGGAACATTGCAAACAGATTTGTCAGGTTGTTAGTCACTTCTTAACTGATTCAGAGTCTTATTTTTGGGCTGCTCAAAATTAAATGTTAAAAACCATATCTCTCTCCATACTGAATGTCTTAATACTTTAGTGAACATTTTCTCTCTTAAATATAGGGAATGTTTATGAGGTTCTGAATTTGTGCCTCAGTATATTAGGTAATGCCTATGGATCAGACTTCCCAGCTAGGTTGTAACATCTTTGATTAATTATTGTAAGTAATTAGTTGAATCTTTTTCACAGCCTCCAGAACAGCTTCAGTGTTTCTTGTCTGCAAATCTCTGAACTTTCCTTCAAAATGTGTTTTCTCCTTTGGAGGTTTTTAAGGCGGTGGCAGAAAACACTGTCAAAAGATGGACAGGTCAGACACTGTATATTTGTATTTACTTCTATGTTCTGTTAACTTACACTTAGGCTTGGGATGATATAATATTGAAATTCACGATATTTCCGGAGCATATGCTATATTTTTCTTAACATCGGAAAAAATATACACAATATATACTGTATACTATTTGCAGTTTTGCGCCGTCTGCCCTGCTGCCAAGTCTGACCCTCATGTCACTGCTTTGCTTGTTGCACCTTGGCAAAAACATACGATCTTTAATCTCACACTCATGAAATTGCTCATTATTACTCACATTGTTTTTGTCAATTGAAAACTCCAATCAAGTTTTACTCAAACAAAATGGTGTGGTCCCCAAAAGGGTTTAAAAAGATTTCTTTTTTTAATGGAAACGAAGAAGGACAAAAAGAATGTACATCTACTGTACCTCCACATCTACAATGCATACACTAGTCCAGTTATATTAAAACAAGGTTACTACAGGTTATAATGGATCCATCTATTTAATTTTTGCAAGGAGAAAATTGTTTGTATTTTGTGTCCTCGCCTCTTCTGCAGACTTCTTCATTTTTAAATGTCAGTACTCTGCTCATCTGTTCTGCAGTTTACTCTCTCCTCTGTTGTTTGGAATATCCTTGAAATTTCAAATGTCTTGAACAAGAAAACATCTTCTTTGCCACTTAACCTGCATGTAGGTCAGCATGACATGTCAAGCTGTTTCCTTAACGCAGCACTTACCCAAAGGATTAACATCATACTGCAGCTTTCAGCTTGAAAGTGCATAATGTCAATATAAAAACTCCAAACTGTTTTGTTTCTATTGTAGGTGAATTGTAGGAGCTCTAGTTAAGGTAGAAACCATGCTCATGACAGAAAGCCCGGTGTGTTTCATTGTGCTCAGAGACAGTTGGTTCTCATGTCTGTTTACTGGTTGTAAACGACAGATACGTCTCTAATTAGTAATCCTTGCCATCCTGACTCCCTCACTTCCTCTCTCATACGAGGCTTGTGACGCACACAACATCTGTAAAGAAAACCAGCAGGATGAGCCCCCTCGCGGCTATCTAGCCTAGTTTCTCATAGATGTACGTCTTCCATGCGTGTCTCTCTCTCCCGACGGCATTGTTTACTGTATGATACATTCACTTAAACCCCACCAACACCAGCAGATGTTGCATCATGATTCATCTACTCTTCTCTTAGCGTCTCTTGGGATTTGTAGCCATGATAAAATGGTGCATTGTATGTATGTTTGTTTATTTGAAACCTTATCTGCAGGACAGATTTTTCTAACATCTTTGAATTTATTTGTGTTGGCCATTCTTATGTCAGTAAAACACCTGAGATATGAATTTGAAATGTAAAAGACTTTCCTCTCTTGCTTGCTGTTTTTCAGGCGCGTTACAAGCAGAGTCTGGACCCCACGGTGGACGAGGTGAAGAAGCTGTGCACGTCGCTGAGACGTAACGCTAAGGAGGAGCGAGTCCTCTTCCACTACAACGGTCACGGGGTGCCGAGACCCACAGTCAACGGAGAGATCTGGGTCTTTAATAAGGTAACTCACACAAACGAGATATTTGTTCTCACATACACAAGCTAGAGTCGTAGGCCTCCACTGAAACAAGGTTCCAAGATGGACTTAGTATCTGTTGTGATGTCACAGGCCGTTTTGACGTGCAACAAAAATGCAATTATTATGTGATTAAGCAAAGCCCTTTTAACACCACACACTCATTAGATTAATGCTGCAAAGTCACAGAGAGCATAATCACTGAATACTCCCATTTTATTCACATTAATATACAGCAGCTGCATCAGCTGAACTATGATCAGTTTCTATATGAGCCCATTTCAATGTCATACATGTACAGTATGTAGAGGTCACAGGGAAGTAATGTGCTGGAACATGACAATGCATGACAGGAATGAGAACCCTTGTTTACGCAGGTTTTCATGCTGTCTATGGCTGCGTCCACACTGCTATCTTTTAGATTTAAAATACATTTCTTTTGCTATGTTTACACCTGGCACACTGCTCCGGAGTCTTTGAGCGCCTGAAACAGAGACTTTTAGAAACAGTGACTTAGACACCCACTGTCGCTCCCTGATTGTGTCTTACCAGTCACGACGGCCAGTGGTGAAAGCAACAAGAATAACGAATTACAAGTGTTACTGACCTTGTTGTCTTTGCTTGCAGCTGGTCTGCAACTAGCCAACTGCAGAGTAGACAATCTGCTTCCTGTTTACAACAGCATGCACACGGCCAGTGTACGTCAGTGGTCATGTACGTGTGCGTTTTAAGGTGTGTTGGTATGGACAGAGATCACTCATGCTCGCCTGCAGTGAGATCGTTTTCGTTTTAAATCTTTATTGTAAAATGGAAATGTATTAGTGTGGATGTAGCTTATACACTTCACTTTGAATATATAAATAAGCTGAATATGAGCACTTGTCAAATTATTGAACTGTACATTAAGCTAAAATACTCTTGGTTTCTAAAATTATTACTACTTCTAAAAAAATATTACGATGCACGTGTTAACATAGCTACTAAAAGCTTAGCAGAATCATAAAAATCCAAAATATGAAGAGCTAAACACACTGACTATAACATAACATTTATTAATAATCATTTATTACATCACTTACTCCAGTGAGACAGATTTCAGGTTGTTTGTATCCAAATCTTTTGCTTTTTACTGCAGGTCCATTGTAGAGAATATGATTGTAGCTGGTGAGTCAAAAAATATGATACAATACAATTTCTGTTTTCTCTTTTACATCAGTGATTTTGTTTCTTGATTCATCTTTGTAGTGTCTTTCATGTCTTTTTTGACCAAACAGCCTCAGAAACCAAACTCAGGAGTTAAATCAGGGAGCAAAGGTTCCTTTAGTACGTTTGTAGCTCACATGAAGAACTGTGAAGATCAGGCAACAAGAGCAGTGATGAAATGAATAGATACATATGTAATGTTTTTTACACAGGGAGACTGTAACACCCTAAGGCAGTTGTTCTTTGTGAGCTGTGTGACAGTGATGATTAAGGGAGATTGAAATTGTCAGAAAGGCGAGATCCTTCTCTTCAGTTCACTGTTTTTTTTGGTTTTTTTTGTCCTTCTTTTGCTCACTCACCCACTCTCTGATTTCTGCTTTTAACTTTTTTGGAAGCTAAAGGAGCAGATTTTACACATCAGCATCAGTTTCCTCATCACGGGGGAGTACCTCTCAGCCTGTGAAAACAGTTGTATAACATCTCCTGTGGCTCTGGAGGAGCTCTGTCGAGTCTGAGAAAGGATCCCTGATGATGTCATCAGCTGATATCTCAGTTTGGGCCTGGGACTTAACAGGAAAAGACAGAAAGCCTGTTTCAAAGTAGGAAGATCTGGGTGTTTATCAGACAGACGACATCCAAAGAATGACATTATCAAGTTGCATTGTGGATCTAGAGTTTTTGGAGCCTATTCTTTTTTTAATATGACTCTTGTGAGTCCCCCAATCTTCTGAATTAAAATACTAAATTGTTGCTCAATCCCTTTATTTTACATACCTATGATTTTAAACATCAATAGCATTAAAAAAAAATAAATCTAGTCCTACTGTTGATACCAGTGACGTGTTCGCTTGTTGTCTGAATGGTCTGTACAGCTGCGGTTCAGCTTTAGCAGCTGCAAGGATTATGTTGGTAGTGCTACTCTGGTAGTGCTAGTGCTAGTGCTTGTGGCCCACCCATCCCTGATTCCTGGTTCAAAAATGTTCCTGAAAACGTTCCTGTGTTCAAAAAGTGCCAGTTCATTTCACAAACAAACATGCAAACACAGCTCCCCTGCAGGCTGTGGTCCCAGGGTTTAGCTCTGCTGTGTTGTAGCATCACTGACTTTCGAATCAGACTCAGAAATCTTGAGTTGTTCGTCACCTCATCCTATAAGTAAGCACCCTCTCACAATGATGCACCGCTCATGTCTGGGCTGAGCTGTTTCCTCCTCGTCCTCAGTGCACCCTTGGGTCTTATGTCCTCTTCTCATTCTCTGTTCTCCACATTTTCCTCTGCATACTTATTCCTTTTTCTATAAAATGAAGCCGCTGTGTCACCGTCTGCCGAAACAGGAGATCAGTGGGGATTTGATGTTGAAGCAACGTCGGGGAACCGAATATTCTATAAAGTGTAACACCTTTATAGATCCATGGTTATTAGATTTATTATTGCACATGTTCCCACCATCATCGTTTCTCTGTCTCTCTCACTCTGCCTCATTATAATTCTCTCTTTTCAACTGTTTCTCTACCTCTCTCTCCTCGGCTCACACTCCCCGTCAAACAGATGACTAGTAAATAATTAAACACAAATCTTTAAAAGTGAGTTATCAGCAATAACATGATGCACGCCTCTCTCGCCTTTCTCACTCTGAAATCTCCTCTCTCATCTCTCTCTCTCTCTCTCTCTCTCTCTCTCTTTTTCAGAACTACACCCAGTACATCCCGCTGTCCATCTACGACCTGCAGACGTGGATGGGGAGCCCGTCCATTTTCGTGTACGATTGCTCCAACGCGGGAATCATCGTCAAGTCATTCAAACAGTTCGCCCTGCAGAGAGAGCAGGAGCTGGAGGTGGGCAGCTGCACAGACAAACACACTCAGCATGTTTACGGCATGTCACAACACAGCAGCCGTGAGTTAGTGGAAGGTAATAGGAAATAAACACTTGTGATGCAAGTGAGTGATGCAAACGCTCACAGTTGGTGTGCAGGCAAACAGGGTGAAATGATCCATCGGTGTTTGTGAGTTATTAGCGGCAAAGTGGTTGATTTGTCACCTGCACACACACGCCTCGAAATCACACACGGATAGACTCGCACTCTCACACACACACACTCATCTATACAGTATTTATAAAGGAGACCTCAGTGAGTGTCGAGTCATGATTCTCAGCTTGAATCCTCTTAATTAAAAACCCAGGATGTCCTCAGTGCTGTGATCCAGCCAATCAACTGAGCAGCTGCTTTTAAATGACTCAGGTTTGGTTTAGTCGTGTGACTGCCTGCCCCCCCCCCCAAACACACACACACACACACACACAAACACGCACACACAGGCACAGAAACCCACCTCTCCCAGCCCCAGTCCTTTCACTACTTCATCTTTTTATTACGTTTTCTCTCTCTTTCTCTCTCCCGGCTATGGCATGTTATGTGAATTCCTAATGAGATGGCGCTGTCATTCATCTCAATTATTCATGGAGAAGTTTCAGCCAGACTGTAGATTAGCTGGAAAAGGAGGGAGAGAGGGAGAGAAAGGTACAGGACGAACAGTGCGGAGCACAGAGGCAGGAGGTGGAGCGAGCTGAGAGAAGAGCTGCTGTGAAAGCTGTGTTACCCGTTAAAGTAAAGGTGAAGGCAGCAGCCAAACTGCTGAGTTGCTGCAGTGTTTGACAGAACCCGTCCCAAGTGTCTCTCCATCCTCAGCCTCTCCTGCTCTATTTTGTTTAACTTTGCAGAGGTCGTGGCAGGGCTGCAACTTCAGGGCTAAAAGCACAACTGTAAACATCACAAGGATTCACTCCTGCTTCATGGGAACAGACATAATGATTCGATACTTTGCACCATATATTTTGTGTTTGACCCTTGCAGTCATTTGTCAGAGTAAATCAGCTATGTGCTCTAATTTTTTTATTCTTTTTTTATTCTTTATTCTTAAGTCCATACTAACAAATAAGAATTTATTTGCCTCCTTGCACAAACGGCCTGCTCGTCGTTGTCTAGGTTCAAATCAAAGATTCTGCTAAAGACGGAGCAGATGTTCTGCAGCAAAACCAGCCGACAAATCAATTAACAATTAACAATATGATGCAATTAGCTAGAAATGGGTAGAACTCTGGTTTGCTTTTAGCCAGCACATTTATATCTGGAGTTAATTTGATTTCAGTTGATAACGTGTTTCAAAGTTGACGGCACTTCATGGAGAAAGCTCATTGTCCAAACTTTGATCTACACTGTGGTATTTTACAGTTTGCATTCATCACACTCCCAGTTACTCTGTTTTACTATGTCTTGCCGTTAAACACATCTGGATGGAGGCTCTGGGGCTAAACTGTTGATACGTTTATAAACTAATTTAAAAAGCCGAGATGAATAAATCTCTTACAACTAAGTAGATGTATCTTTTTAGTATGTGACACTGATGTCATGAGACAGGCTTTTTGTCCATTACTGCAGCTCGTCGTTATTGGATACAAAGCACATCACACAAGCACAAACTCCTCCTTCTTGTAACTAGTTTGTACAAGGGAACATAAGGGAAAGTAAGGGACTGCTGAAGGTTCTGTCAAGGAAAGATTCAGCTATTATTAAAATATTGTTATTTACGTGTGATTTCAGTCAGACCTTAGCCTTTATGTCTGGGAGTGCAGCTCTTGAAGCGGCTGTGGTCATTGTGAGCTGTAACATACTGGCTGAGGCAAGAATGGACAAGTAATTGATCAGACAATATTTTATTTTTTCATAGCAGGGACCACCGTGTACTCCAAAGGCATTAAGCTGCATTGCTGCACAGGAAGTATTTATTGAAAGGTGGGAGCTTCAAGGTTTAACTACAGTGTTTCAGTGGGGAAATAAGCAGAGGAAGTCCCACAGTTAAATGCAGGGGAAGTTGCGTAACGTCCACAAGCAATTTCACTATTCCACCTGACTGCGTGCCCTTCACATCCACTCACACAGGAAGTGTATAATAGGGAGGGGGCAATGAAAGATGAAGAGGGAGGCGATGACTTCCAGAGACTTTTTAATCATGCAGGAGACGATCTGAGCAGGGAGTCCCCCTTCTTCACCCACACGCTCCTCCACCCGAATCCCTCCGTCGCGACACTCATGAGCAGTCCCAAGTGGAATCATGAAATGCCACACACACACACACAGAGTTTGTCATCCATTTTTACCTTTGGCATCGCACCACTGACACACGCACATCGCACACGTTTCACATAGCACGACAGACCTGATCTCACCGGGGGCTGAATTATTTGGAGACGCACTGATGCAGATGAAGACAAGAGACGAATGAGGGGAGGATATGAAAGGAGGAGGAGGTGTTTTAACACACACAGTCCACAGCACCATATCAACCTCCCCCTGCAGTCCAGTCAGTCAGTCAGTCAGTGTGGGTGTCTGCCCTGAGTGCTCTATTATAGGGCCACATGCTTACTTTTAAATATCTCATCACTTCCTGCGTACACTCAGCAAACATGAAGACGTGTGTGTGTGTGTGTGTGTGTGTGTGTGTGTGTGTGTGTGTGTGTGTGTGTGTGTGTGTGTGTGTGTGTGTGTGTGTGTGTGTGTGTGTGTGTGTGTG